TATGTTAGGTTATTTTTTTACTTGTTATTACCTATTTATTGATCTAGATAACCACTTATAAAAGACTAGGATATGTCTTGACCAAATTCCTGATGTTTTCATAAATGAAGATGGGCCAGATGATTTTATTTCTTGCTAACTATAGATCAGTGTACTATTGAACTGAAATATTAAATATCTCATTTCATAAATCAGGGGATCTGCATTGGATTGTACCAAATACACTGTGAAGTAGATTTTGGCTTGATTTCTGATCATGTTCTTTGTATGTAATTATAGTAGGGTTTTGAATACCATCACGCAAGTGAAACACAAGGCTTCTAGTCTCAAGGTTTTTGTTTTTATTTTGTCTCCGACACAAGTGATAATAAAAAAAAGGGGCAATGCTGAAAGCAGGAAAGATGTGTAGAAATCTTAGGTCTTGCCTTCATGTAAAAGTTTTTAACACAGGACATTAACATGACCTGTAGTTATTCCCATCTATCAACGAATTCTTAGGCTTGTAATTGATTCCTCTCTGCCAGGCTCATACCACTAGGCAAAAAGTTTGAAGGGAGCCTGAGAGACGATTTCTTCAGGTGAAGATTGATTTTCTGTAACAAGCATGTAGGGAACATTTTCTTCTCTTTCTGCCTGCCTGCAGGCGATGTGAAAACTTATGGGACCAGAGAGTCCTCATCAAAGAAAGGCTTTTCACCACTCCTTGGGCTTTGCAGAAGTCAATGCTCAGAAAAACTTTAGGTGTTTCTTGTGACTTCTGAAGGGTTTCAGCTGTGGATCCTATGATTACATATCCTTTGTACCGGCTTTCCAGCTGGACCCAGGAGCACGCAGTATCTTAGGGGACTTGTCAAAACCCATCCCATTGCTTTTGCCTGCATGCTAGGTGACATGAGGACACTGTAGAAAGGACTGTGTCTGCCCAGTACAGGCCATACACCATTTCCATTATGCCCACTTCAGTTATGCCCACTTATCTCAGCAAGAAAATTAGAACCAAGATAGTAAGAGGTATGAAACAGAAATTAATTAGTTAGGACACCAACTCAGGAAATTGATGATTCAGGGGTATAAAAATGATACACAAAATCATGAATTATGTCATGAAGGTAAGCAGGGAAGGGTCATTCATTATTTCTAACAGTACAATAACTCATTAAAATATCAGGCAGACAGCTTAAGAGTAACAAAGGATGCATTATTTTTACACAAATCATAATTAAACTGTGGAACTCGATACTTTCAAGCCAGCCAGGTTCGTGGAAGAAAGACCTGTAAAAGGCTATTAGACACAGCACTGGTTCAGCCACTTCCCAGCCTCCAGATGTGTTCAACCAAGGAGCAGGACCGCTCTGGACATGATCCTCTTGGATACTTTGTCCTTACCTATTGTCTTGTGCTCATGGTGAACTCTGGATACTTGACTCCATGCAGCTATTGTTGTACTGTTTTACAGAAGGAAATTTATTGACAATACACTTACGCATACATGGCCAGGCTCTCAAAATGAGACTAAATAAAATAACCATAGAACAAATTCCCATCTACTAGACATCTAAATGTATGCAAATATATAAATATTTGCCTTTGTTTTGTGCCCACAATATGAAAAAGGAGAATCTGGACAGCCAGGCTAGAAACAGGGTCTTAAATGACTTGTAAATATTCATGATTGGTTCATCAGTTGAAATCAGAGTGGTGCCAACATAAGGGAGGTGACTATGGCTTTGATAAATTTTTCTCTGAAGGCAGCTTCATTATCATTTCAGGCACCAAAAAATTACTATTTTCCCTTGTGAAGGAGACGATCCCCTGTGGGAAGTGTAGTGATTCCACATTTTGCTCTTTTGACTGGGGATCTCATAATGGTCTAGGAGGATGGCAATTATGCCCATCAGCCTGCAGATCAAGGCACCCAACAGATCAAGTGAAAACAAACAAAAGGAAATTGTAATCAAAAGCTCTTTATAATGATTTGAGTGGAATCTGCAATATGTATTAATATTTTCTCCTTTCCCCCTTCAGGGTATGAGTCAGTAGGAGCCTTTCTGTAACATTCTCCCCATTATCTTTCTTACAAAGGAAAGAGAATTTGAAATGGAGAAAGGATTATTTTTTAATCTGGGACTCTGCTTGCAGTGTGCTGGTACAGAGATCTGATGCTCAAAGACCTCTTGCTCTAACACACTCAGAAGGGGTTTATGGTTTGACAGAGTTGATCTTGGCACCTTGAGCTTTTGATTCACACATTTATAAAGCTGTCTCTTAGGTTCTTTTAATTAGTGGCAGCTCTTGGAAGAAGAAAATAATGGTTACGCACAGGAGCTGGCAGGAGTCTTCCTAACTCATGGGGCCAGATGCTGCTCTGCAAGTTCAAAGTGAGCAGTGGATGCTCATCACCCCCCACAACCAGGCCACTTTTATTTAGGTAGCCTTCAGAGAGAAAAAATGTAACATTTGTGGGTTTAGGCTACCTCTGTTTGCTTTTGCATCTTTTTAACGAGATCTGTGGACAGTGCCTTCCTACCCCTCGGTGGTACTCTGAGGCTTTGTTAGCTGATGGTGAGACTTGAAGAGAGAGGGGGATCACAAAGCGACCTATTTTGTTAACAGCAAGGAAAGGATTTGGTGGCTCAGAAATCTGCAGGGGTAAATTTGGCATCCCTGCCCTGACAGGCTGTTGAGCTGATCATGACTCATGTCGTTAAAATGATTTTAACATTCAACGCCAGCTGATGAAAATTGAGTTAAAGGGAAATTAATTTTACATGCAAACTTCTAAAAGCATTGGAAGTTAACTCCAGAGAGGTATCAAAAGAAAGAAAAACTTGCATGCCCTGATCTCCAGGGGACAGTGAGAGAACTACAGGATTTTATTCAGCCATCTGGAAGGAATCAATTTGTGGTACCTTCTGAGTATAATTTATCAGGAAAATACTGTACATAAGTGACACAGTGCACATGAGGGGTCTGATGAATGTAAACCTGAAGGACTGGAGAAGGACTGGCTAGCGAATACCTCGGCTGCCAGATGGGCAGCCCATTCCCCAGATGGTTGAGCTCCCATTTAGTTGTTTTTGTGAGGAAAATAAAGGAAAACACCAACAAAAGGACTAAGAAAACTCACTGTCTCCAGGCACCAGGCATTAAATCTGACCAGTTGCTCTTTCATGCAAGCTCCTCACGTACAGGAGAAATTGGTGAGCAAACAGACACCACATGCTAACCTGGCTGGGAAACAAGCTGATGCAGGGGAACATGTTGCATCCTTGGAATATCTCAATAATATTTACAAAACCAACTCCACACTGATTACCTACAGTTGCAGGGCTTGACTGTCAAGGTGGGTCAGCTCCTCTTTTTTCACCAGTGCTGATGCACACAGTGAGGGGCCGAGGCATCTGCAGCGCTGCAGCTGCCATTGCCTCTTGCCCATCGGTGGGGTGCATGCTGTGGGGCACCTGGCAGGACCTGGGATCTGCTTAGCAGCTGCAGTCTCCTCAGGCTGCCCAAAAAGACAGCTGGAAAAAGCTTGTCACTTCAGTGCAGTTCTTTTCTTGACACCAACTGCTGCAGTTTGGCAGCCACCAGCATGATTTTGGATAGCTTGATACTTACATAAACAGTGCAGAAACACCACAGAAAGTTGCCAAGATCCGTGTACCTGCCTGAGTACAGGTCTCCTCCATGCAGCTGAAGAAACAACTCTTTCTGGTCCCAAAGTCCTTAGCCAGAGTGAGGACAAGAGGCTGTTCTTACTGGAGGCAGATAACCCCAGGCTAACTTCAGGCTCAGAAGGAGCAGTGGAGTTTGCTACATTCCCAGGCAAGCTTGCAGAATATGGCCCTGCACATACAGACCTCAAATAACTGTAACCTGTGGACCTATGGATGCTACGTACGTGCATCTGGGCAGAATTTGCCTTTTGATGCCACTGTGCTCTCCCACAAGTCTCAGTAGGCGACAAGGGATGCTTTACCAGTGGGGATGTCACATTAGGAGCAGCTGTGGCAACAAATGTAGTATCTGGAGAGACATAATGGGACAGGGTTTGGGTTTTTTTGCCATTCTCAGTTGAGAGATAAGGAGGACGGAACATCTTTGCTTAGCAAACCACCTCGTGGCCTCTCCTGGTGTAATCTTTGGGCTGCTCTAATGAAAGCCCCAGATGTCGTGGTCATCCAGGAGCTCCCGCAGTTGCAATGCAATGTGCTCAGCCCCAAACCTCTCTACCCTCACCCCATATTTCCTGTGCAGGACCCCAGAGACAGATAGCACTGAGGTTTTCTTGAAGAGCAGATTTGGCTGGGAAATCACCTTGTGATGAAGCAATGCTCAAAAAGCCACTTCTGTTGAACTTCTTTCTAGGAAAACAGTGGCACAAAGGGGTCAGTATACTGTGGAGAATTGATTTCTTTGATTTTTTAAGTGCCTTTGAAAATTTTTGGCTAATATTTTCTATGCTCAGTCCCTGCTGAATGATAGTTTTTGCATATATGTGGAAATCTGAGATAAAATAGTTCTGCCTGCAAAGAGAGGAGAGAAATATTTTTAGTCAATTGCATTTGAGAAAAATAAGGGGCTTTTAAAATAAACTTCCTGACAAAGCTGTTGGGAATAAAACCTAATGTTTTCTGTAGAACTGTCTCCATGCTATGCTCAATTTGGTTACTATTTGCATGAGGTACAGCATTTTGTAAATTATACTGTTTGCATAAAATAGACAGCCTAAGAAAGTCACCCTGTGCTTCATAAACTGCTAAATGAGGTAGGAGAGCCCAAAGACCAGGGAAACACAGCCAGGGAAGTCATTTCATGTGGAGCCCCCTCCCACAGTGCCCTGTTTGTCCAAGCAAGCCTCTTCCATGACCTGCTCCGCTGCTCCCTATACTGCTTTTATCTTTCAAAAGCATTAATTGCATAGTTTCTGGGACTGCAGGGCTAGAGGTCCAAATAACCAGAGTTTTTTCTTTTTAACCTTGTTTCTCTCAATCCTGAAGGATGAGCTGGCATCAGAAGAATTTAAATGAAGAGAGGCAGCAGCAGGAAGCAGAAGATACTGAAGCTAATCCAGCATATCACTGTCACAGCTACTCACAGGCCTGTGAGAACAGAAAAAGGGAGCAGCACCAAGCCAGGAGGAAGCTCTGTGTAGCATCGATAATTTGCATCTTCTTCATGATTGCTGAGATTACAGGGGAGTATGTTTGCTCAGAGAGAGCTCAGTTTGGTGCCCAGCATAGCTGTATTCATGCCCTTTTGCACCTATTCTGAGTGCAGTGACGCATGAACCCACCTGGGATAAAACAACCCCCCTTTCTCCCCAGTCTCTAAAAGAATTGTGAGGTTTTTTAACTGAAATTGTCATATACTCATTTTAGAATTGCATCTGAGTAGGATTACAAGGACCAGTTAATTGTCTAAACTGTTATCCTAGGTCTTTAAGCTTGCCTAGAAGTGGCTAGCATGTCTCAGCATCGTGTTGCAAAAGGTTTCTAATAATTTGGGTTACATTTTTTGGAAAAGATTAAAAGATTTTACATGTTTATCCAGGCCAACAAGACCTCAGTACTGATGAAGCAGCAGGATCTGATATTAAATGCAAAAGTCTTTACAAAATCCAGAAAAAGCCAGAGCCAGATTCACCATCTGCTTTTCTTCTGTTAAGTCAATGTATTTATACCAGGGCACGTTTATCTTTTAAATTGGCCTGCTGGTGTGTCTCTGGATCAATGGAAGATTATTCCCCTGTTTAATTAGCCTTCACTTCTGGACCCATCCTACAATATCCAATAGAAGTTTTTGGCTCACTCAAAGAGCATTGACTTTCATTTTGTCCCATCGATCTGCTCTCTGCATGGCTTCTGTGATATTTATACCCACTTGACAGTTCCTGGGTCTTTAATTGCCCCTTCTCCACGATGAGGAACCCCACAGGCTTTTGCTACATGTGCCCCGGTGGGTGTACCAAAAATTAGCCAGGAAGACCTCCAAACCCCATGTTTTCCCTGCTTCAGCATCTCTGGAGCTCCATGGAAATGAGAGACTTCATCTTCCTCACTGGTGAAAAGTGGAGGCAATGAAAGAGCCGCTGGATTTCTGCCTTCTCCCCTGGCTGCCAAACCTACCAGGGGCTTCTCCAACTCTCCCCTCCTGTGCACTTCATCCACACGAAGCCCTGTTTTTTGTAGTTCACGTGCATTTCCCCATGAAAACGGGTGCATACCACTAATCTCCATGCAGCAATTTCCAGTACCAGAAGTAATGCATTATTAACAAAACCATATAATCAGTAGGCTTAAGTCTGGTGAATGCAGTAATGCTAGAGGATAATTGGAAGGACAGATGATATGTTAACAAAATGTTTCATTTTGCTTAATGAATCATACAGCTTTTTTTGCAGTGACAGCTTAAGTAACAAGCTTGAAGACCATTTTGCTTCAGACCATTAAACTTTGACAAACCAGTTATTAACTGTAGTTACAGACAGCGGTCTATGGAGGTTTTTGTAATTATGAACCATAGATTTAATTTTTTTAATCATTAGGCTAGACAGCCTGCGCCTGATGATTGACCATTGAGTGACTGACAGTTTCTACTGCTTTGTGGTATACAAAACTATAAACATCCATTGTGAGTAATAGTAAGTCATAAAGACCACTCGTTGGGAGTATTGATACAAAGCAATAAAAGTCTAGAACTATTACACAGGCTTTATTCTTGAAAATAAGTAACATGTTCTCCTTCCTTGTCCTTTAAAGGGCAAACAATTTCCATGGGCATTATTGTGCTAAACAAAAGAAACAAAGCTACATCAGTCTCAAAAAGGTTGAAAAGTTGTGCTTCTTTGAATCCTTAGATCTTTCCCGTGATATTTTTGCTCAAACCATCTGTGCTGACCCTTACTACTCTCCCAAAAGGGGCACCGTTGGCTGAGCCTGATACACCAACGGTCTCTGAAAGAGACATCTTCTGTTTTTCTAATGCAGATCCATCACAGCCTCCACAGATTTGGAAATACCAGTCAGACCAATGGCACCCTATGTACAGCCCTGACGTAAAAGTGCATTCTAAGGATTTTTAGTGGCTAAGGACCAAATGTGGATTTCAAAGTACTTTATTTCCATTTGGACACTAGAAAGAGAGAAAAACCCACCATGTGTCATCTTGTCAAAAAGGAATATGAAGACTTGACTGGGTTGCTAAGATAAGCAGACTGAGATCTCAGAAACTCACCCAAGGCATTAGTTATGCCAGCAACACATAAAATAATAATTAGCCACCATTTTTTCCAAAGATGGCATGCTAGAAGCAAGCTTTTGTAATGCTGTCCCATGGAACACAGAAATACAGTATCTAAAATGCAATGGGGTTTTGCAGGCAGCTTGTGCTCTACATATTTGTTTGCTCAAAGATAGCTGATGCCTTGCTTGTTAACATCTGTGTCCTGCCAGAAGCCTGCTTCCCTCTGCTATGCAAAATTTCTTCCCACTTGGGAAACAGCTACCCTGCAAACAGTGAAAGTCTAGGAGCTATGTCATGACCAAAAAGTAAATGTGCATTGACACCTGCCCATGTTCTAGGAAATCCCTATTCTGTTGAATTTTTCATTATACTGCAAGAAATGAGATGCCCCCAAATTCTGCTGTCATGCCTGTTCCCTTTTGGGAAGTAACTTTCAGGCAGCTGTAAGTGGGATGTATAGGGAGGCAACAGAAAAACATAATATATACCCCATATGTGCAATATGCATTTTCCTGTTGTGACAAACTGTTGTGGTTTAACACCAGCCAGCAACTAAGCCCCACACAGACATTTACTCACTCCCCTGGTGGGACTGGTGGGAGAAGTGGAAGGGTAAAAGTGAGAAAAACTCACGGATTGAGATAAAGACAGTTTAATAGGGAAAGCAAAAGCCACACAGACAAGCAAAGCAAAACGAGGAATTAATTCAGTTCTTCCCATCGGCAGGCAGGTGTTCAGCCATCTCCAGGAAAGCAGGGCTCCATCACACCTAATAGTTGCATGGGAAGACGAAATGCCACCACTCCAAACATCCTCCCTTCCTTCTTTTTCCCCCAGCTTTCTATGCTGAGCATGACATCATATGGTACGGGATATCCCTTTGGTCAGTTGGGGTCAGCCATCCCAGCTGTGTCCCTTCCCAATTTCTTGTGCACCTCCAGCCTCCTTGCTGGTGTGAGAAGCAGAAAAGGCCTTGACTCTGTGTAAGCATTGCTCAGCAATAACTAAACATCCCTTTGTTATCAACTCTGTTTTCAGCACAAATCCAAAACATAGTCACTGTGAAGAAAATTAAGTCTATCCCAGCCAAAATCAGCACACAAACCATACAGTATTAGGTATTCTAATCTAAAATCTGCATATGGAAGGAAATTAAGCAGAAAGTCCATCCTGCTGGTATGGAGACTTTCCATCTAAAAGGAAACGAAAGATTTGTCTACATTTTCCTTTGGCAGTGGTAACTTGCCAAAGGTTTGAATGAAGCATTTTGTGATGTTTTTTGGAATTCTTTGATTCAAATATGGGATGTGGTCAGGAGAAACCAGGTGAGCTGAAATTAATTAAATGACAGAAGAAGGATGGAAATATATTGCTGAATACAGAAATTAAATGTTTTGGCTCTATTATTTCAATCTTTCTACATTTTGCCTCTAATTAAAAGATTCCCCTGCTGTTACAAGTTGGCAGGACAGCTTCCTGCCTGTGATCCTTGTCTTCTCCTGCAGCCACCAGCAGCTAGGGTAGCTTACAGCAATCTTTTAGTTTCTTTGGGTTTGCCTTTAGCCCTGAGACATGGTTAAAAGAATTTGGAAAAATAATTATATTTGACTTTATGGGCAAAAGAAATGTGGTTTCAGATAGCCTAAAATGGCTTGGGTTTAGTTTTGGGTTTTCTGGCCAGAATTCGCATGAAGACAAAGCTCCCCAAAGTAAAATGACATTCACTCACATTTTTCCAGCTCTAGCAGCAAAATTAAATCATGCGTTACAGATGCAAAATGATAGATTAGTCGTGAAAACAGAACATTTTTCTCTATATCCTCACCAAAATGTCTGGTCATTTATCACAGCTCTTCTGCTGGGACCTTTCTTTTTATTCTTGTTTTAGTGCTGCCTGTGACAAACAAAAATTTGGGCATCCAGCCATCCAAAACTCGGGAAGAATGTGCATAGTGTCCTATAACAATCAAGGAACTAATCCTGTAAGATAAGAGTCTGAGTATTTGTACATACAAAAAAATATTAACAATCTGTGAAGAGATAGTGGAAGGATACTGGAGATGTGATCCCCAATACTGATTTTCACCAAGAAATCTGATATTAAAATAGTTACAGTAAAGCAGTCCGATAGTAGTATCACCACAGCACTAATGTATCACAACTACTATTGTCCACTCTCTCTCTCGGACAAATTTAGCTTATTTCTTTATATTAATTCTTACCTTTCTCTACATGAACGAGGTACAAATGAAACTAACTTTGAAGAATTTTGGGTGTACAATCACTGAAAATTGAATGTTCCCTTTTACTGTCAGCAAAGTAGGTCTCAAGTTTGATCTGGTCAACTCAAACTTGAGACCAAAGCCATGATATTAACATGTGTCTCACACAGGTGGGCAGATCGCCGGAAGCCTGGCAGTGATCACCGATGCAGCGCACATCCTGGTGGACCTTACAAGCTACCTGATCAGCCTCTTCTCACTGTGGCTTGCCTCCAAGCCTCCCACCAAACAGCTAACTTTTGGGTGGCAGAGAGCAGGTAGCAAACATGTCCCAGTAGGAATATGAGGAATGGGAAAGGGACTGAAAAACGTGCTGATGTCCAACATAGGTCTGTGGATATTTAGAGACAGCGCACTAATACTCTCAAAGCCCCTGGGACACATGACAAATAAAGCAAGCCAGAGTGCTTCAAAGAAGTAAAAAGCACAGTCATCTCTTATCTACAAACATGTCTTCAGTTCATTATTGAATATCATTTTGAGCTGGTGCTAGCTTTGACTGAGATAACAGCAACTTCCCTCAGTGACCTGAATGTGAGGAGGACTGAGTCCTAAATTCAATACAGACTTCTATAAAAGCAGTAATAGCCACAAAAATGAGGCTCTATTTATAGAATGATAAAGCAAATAATTAAATTATTTTAAAAAGACAACAATATTATATTTGTAGAAAAGTGAGATCCTTTAATATTCACCATTTTCTGAATCCTCTCCCTGCATATTTCTTTATCACTGCTGTTTTATATCAGATGGAAGCACTGGTAAGTTTGAAAGTTCTTTGCCCTCAACCAAAATCAATACATTTACAGGCGACACCAAATACCAAAAGCCCCAAGCCTTACAATCAAACACAAGTGCTTTTACAAATGACAAGACAACGGCAAAATCTTAACTATGAGAAAGATTTTCTTGGAGTATGATTCTGTTCAAGATTTAGACACCTAAATATCAATGTCTACATGTAAGTGAGCACATATAAGCACAGGGTCCAAGTTTCTTATATGTTCAACAGAAATCTAGGCTCCATTCAGCTGTCTAAACATAGAGGTCTACTGTTCCATCCCTACAGTGTTTGAGACTTACACATGGGAATGGCAGCTGTGGCACAAGACCCACAGGATGCCAAGCACAAGTCCAGAGCATCTCAAATGCTACCAGACACTCGTAGTTAAGAAACCAGGATGTGTTCCCAGTCAGTCAGTGGAGCAGGGAGCTGTGTAAATTACCATTGTCTACAATGGGAGCTTAGACACCTAGCTCGCACCTAGGTGTAGATGTTGTAATCTACTTGCCTTGGCTTTGAAATGAATATCATATTGAGTGTCCTAGGGCTCAATTTATTTGCTCATATGTAAGGGATCAGTGGTATTCTAAATGTCCTAATGAGTTCCACAAAATCTCCAGCTGTCACTCAAGAAGGCTGTGGGCCATTTATACATCTTGTGTGAAACCAAGGTGGTGTCAGTGTATCTCAAACGGCTCTAGACACCTATGCAGCTGAACTGAGCACTCAGATGAGAAATGCTGCAAGGATGTTCAATATAAAGGTCCAAAAGCAGGTTCTGACTCAGGATGTCTGCAGACCGAGGTTGCCTGTAGCTGCAGAATGTACCAGAGAAGACATATGCCATACTCATCCTGTCTTTACATTGCTCCCTAAGTATATTCTACCAAATCTGCTGGAAACAGGCTGCTGGATGAGGGGGAAGTTTAGTATGACTGAAGCGTGGCTGACATTATGTTGCCAACACACAGCTGCATTTTGCAGCCTTAGCAAACTACTACTTAGCATCAGTTGATCCGTAATTACTTTTTGTGTTTATGCTCTTTTAGGTTGGGAATAAAGGAAAGTAAAAGAGAGACTTCCCTCTTGTTGGTGAGATGGGAGGCAGATTCAGCCACCTCTTGTAACTTCATCCTGTAACTTCAGTCTGTGTTAGAAATTTTTTAGATTTTTGTCATTGCAAGGCAGAACTTCAAAACCCATCTCTTATTGCCTTTTAAACCTGGTAGCAAAGAGAGACCTGCATCAAATGCCAGTGGCTATTTAATTACATTCCATGATAGTTATCCTGTTTCCTGCTTATTTTCCCAGCTTTATTTCCAGTTTAATATGCAGGGGAGGTGCCTTAATAAAGTAGCTGAGGGCAGTCAGGTGGGTGGCAGCTTCACTGTGTGCTGACTACCAAAGTCTTGAAAAAGATGAATAGTATGAGCCAGACCTACCTCCAGGCAGGAGGGCTTTCTTCAACCTCTTTAATTTCTTTATCTCTGGTATTATTCAAAGTTTCCCAAACAATCCTATACTGTTGTTTGCTGTTCTTTGTTAGCTCTAGTAGTTCTGAAGAAATGTAGCTGAAAACATCTTGAGTGAAACATTTGGTGCTACTGAAATGGTCTGTAAGCTTAGCTAAACTTTTCCTAAGAAAGTACATTGAAAGTAATAGATATTTTCACCTGTGTAGGTAAAGATGACCTCTAACATTTTCAGCTGTGGAGTATTTGCACATGCACACACAGACATTCATGCAGGTGTTCACAAAAGCTGTTGGCTCCCTTCATGGCAAGGACAGCACAGCCATCAACACCTCCAGCTGGGTCATGTTTGCAGGGTTTCAACCTGTAACTTGCAGAAAATATAAACACCATGCTCTATGATAGCTTCCTTCAATCTGCTTATAAGCAAAACTAGATTTCCCTGTCAGTGCACTTTCATTCGTTATTTGTCAGTTTTAGACAAAATGGTCATTTTGATAAGCATCTGGACCCTGGACTTCTGCAAAATGTATGACTTTTATAAAATATATATTCAAAATCGTAAGTTGAGTTCCAGCTGCTTTCATAAACTGACAGAGGAGGTCTGTGTAAGTGCTTTGCTTTTTCTGGCTATCTATTGCCTTTCACTTTACTGTGAACTTTCATTTTCCTTGGTATTGTCTCAGTTGCACTTGTAAAGTGCAATATTTACCCATTCAAGTCACGTGGCAATTACTACTCCCACATCCTATTGAGAACATGCTGCACGTTCCTATGATCATCCTTGGACCTCGCCTATGGCAGTGCAATAACAGGTGGCCTTGGGGACTGGATTTATTTGAGCCCGACTCAGAGCCAATAGAGACAAAATTGAATTTTGCTGCCCTGGGGAAAAAATAGCTTTTTTTGTCCTCAGCACTCCTGGTGGCACAAAAATTATTTTGTGGCATTGGCAGAATGAGTCCTAGGAGAGAAGAAGGGAGAGGCTTTGCTGGCAGGACCTTGTTGAGGGCTGCCATTGCCTTTCTGAAATGAGAAGTGACAAAAGGTGTGCAGAAGCAAGAGCGGGTATCGGAGGGGGATTATTGCTGCCACTGGGTTTGGGTGAGCAGTGTCTCCTTCCTTCCAATGACCAAGATAGTCTTGTTGGAGGAGGAGAGCCGGTTCCTGGACCTCTCAGATCATACCTGGCAGGGCCAGGCAACTACGTAAGGCATAAAAGAATTGCTCTTTTATCCTTTCTTATCTTTACAACTCATTTTGCTCTTCCCAAAACTCCACAAATTATCTTTTTCATCTCTCCAATTTCTCCAAATGCTGCATAAACTAAACACTGGAATGGGCACTGAAGTAGGAGCAGGTAGAACAAGATCAGGTTGCCACATGTATAGGGCTGCCCTGGACAGCCACTGGGCTTGCTATGGCCAGAAAGGGGCTTGGCTCATTTTTTGTGAGCGTCAAGGCTGCCAGTACAGAGTAAGTAATTGCTGGCTACAAAGCTTACAAACCCAGAACCATTACCATCAATCCCTTAAAATTTCTTGTGCTTCTGTTATCACTCCTGTTAAAATCAGATTTTTTTAATTCCTAGAAATTCTGGGAGCTTTGATGTCTATGATAATCGTTTGGATGGTGACTGGTGTGTTGACTTATTTGGCTGGCACAAGGCTGCTACACCGTGATTACGATATTGATGCTACAGTGATGCTCATTACCTCTGCTTGTGCCATACTCGCCAACATCCTGTAAGTTACTTCATTTTCTCCTCCATATAACTTTTGAACCTTGGACCTGCTGCTGTATTTCAATAAGAAAAGATAGATATTGGCCTCAAAAACGTTAAGTGTTTATGAGTTTCATAAGAATATGGGTAGAGAAGAGAAATCCTGCTTCTCACTGAAGGCTGCAGTTGCTCTCTTCTGTTAGCTGCCACACTGGAAAGGGAAATTATAAATGCACAAACTCCAGGAAATGATTAATCTCCATCTCACTTTTTATTAGATGTCAGGACATTCAAGAACTCTATAGAATATGAGGCCTTATGATTCCCCTATTCACAGACTTTCTTGTTTGTATAAAAACCACTGAATCACCTAGAAATTACTCTGCTTTACCACTCTGTATTTTTACCCACTGTGTCTGCTTTTACTGTTCAGCATTCAGAAGTGGGAAGACTGATGACCTGTGGGACACCACTGCTTTCAGAGATGAAATGACCCCACTGATATTTGCAGCTTTACATGTCTTCCAGACTAAGCCTGATTCTGCACCAGACAGGCCATGGGCACAGAAACGGGCACAGCCATGGGGCACAAGCCAGGGAACACACGTCGGCCTCTCCAGAGAAGGCAGCTCTGAGCAACACTAGTCTGCGGGCAGCCTTTGTGCACACCATTGGAGATCTATTCCAGAGTATTAGTGTGTTAATTAGTGCACTTATCATCTTCTTTAAGGTTAGTTTTATTAGTTCCCTTGCCTTCCTTGCAATTAGGGATAACGGTTATTTTCATAGCATTGTGACATTAGGTATTGTGTAAATATTTTCTCTGCCTCAATGATACACATTGTAATTTAGTCAAAGACAATTATACTTATTCTTGGGAACTGAAATGAACTGTTGAGAGTGTAACACTTGCTTCCTGGTGTTTAACTGCAGGAGGATAATTCAGTGTGTCTCCCTTTCTTCATCTGTAGCACCTTCATACCCTGTGCTGTCATACCCTAACTGGCATAGGAGGTCAGCACTCAGTCTGTACCAGATGTATGGAATATATTTTTCTTTGAGATTAACTAATTTTTTAATAGCAATAACCAACGGTAATGGAATTAACAAAATGATGTGTTCGTATTTTTCTAGCCAGAATACAAAATAGCTGACCCAATCTGCACATTTGTGTTTTCCATCTTTGTTTTGGCAACCACCATCACCATTTTAAGGGATATTTTGATTGTGTTAATGGAAGGTAGGACCTTATTCCAGAATCAATACAGTTATATTTTGGTTTGTTTTTTTCTTTCTCTCTAAGTAATGCTTATACCTGCTGACAAAAGTACAATTGAACACTTCTGTGTCAGTTTGCAATATTCTCATAATTCTGATCATACTTTAAACCTAATCACAATTTTAATCAAAACTGTTTTCTACCATTAGACTAGAAGACTTGTGTGCCAGTTGTCATAAAAATCTGTGTACTGGTGTTTTGCTAATGAACTCCCAATATGTTCCTAAAACTGAGTTGCTTTTGTTCGTTGTATGTGTAACATTGCTTTTTATCCCCTTTGGCATAGGAGATGTCTGCTCACTTTGTTCATCGTGTAATTCTTTTACCCATCTGAAATACAAGATTTTGCCAAAAATAAAAAAGCTCAAGGAAGAGAAAGACTGTGCTTTGAACTGTGTTTGTGAAATAGACTGAGTGCAAACACAGAAGTTTAAAAGATTTTTAGTTATGCCAGTCCAGAAAAGCAAGCAGATAGAGCTTTCCAGTCATATTCAGGTGAAAGGGAATAGACAATTCTCAGCACATCAGCAGCAAGAAGCAGTAGGCTTAGCAGTATTTAATCCTGTCAGCTATGGGTCTGAACGTTTGATTTGCAAGGCCAAATGACTTGAGCAGTCATAGATGCATGTTTTTGCCTTCCTTACACTGAATAATATAATGCAACCTCTTTCTCAGCTATGAATACATAAGGATTAAAGGGAAAAGTAGCTCTAACAATGCAGGTTTTTAATGGATAGGAGTTACTCAGTATGACTGTCTGCATGGCTATTTACTTCTCTCTTCTCTCTATCACTTTGCACCTACTTCTGTTACAAGAAAGAACATTTCCAATATTGTTTTACAGTAGAGCTTCATACTAGGGTATGCAAACGAGGTTTCAGTGACTGTGAGATAGATATATTTTTGAAAAAGTATACCTAGACAGAGTGTAGCAACTGGCTGTATCTTGGCTGCCAAAAATCAAAACTCCTCTTGATTACTGAAAAAAAAAATCAAACTACTAGGAAAGTCTGGCAATCCCTGGCACTCAGGGCTCTCTTCCTCAGAGCAGGGATTCCCAGCTTCCATAAGCACTGCTGACATGTCAAAATAGCAATGGTCCGTTCCCCTCTGCAGCAAGGCCCTTCAGAGTATCCTTCTGGGGAGGTCTTGGAAGCCACTCTCCTATCTCCTAAGTGACATATTTTGCCCAGAATTTTCTAAAGAGAAATTATATGTTGGAGATGGTATTGCAGGTGGCTTTTAGCCTATACATCCTGACTGTCCCAGGGTGTCAGCCCCACAGACCCTGTGACTGACTGTGTCATGCAAGCACCGACTGTCCATGGTTTTGTCTAAAGAGCATGTGCATGTCAGCAGCATGTTCTACTGAGTCAGTACTCCATACAGAGTATCATTCTTGTAATAAACAGATCAGAGAAAGCACACAACACTGAGGTCAAATAATTATCAGTTAGGGTATGAAAAACAAAATTAACCAATACTGTGCTTACCATTATTATGCTTCATAACTGGTGGCATTAAAAATATTTTTTGGTTTACTAACCCAGGTGAAGCATGATGAGCATAGCTGTTCATGTGGGCATAGAGGTGCATTTCCAAACTCCCTGGTCTCACTGCAGAAAAGATCTGTAGTTAAATTCCTTGGTCAAATTTGGATTTAGATTAAACTCTGCATTTCATGTTGCAACTCACCCTATCACAATTGTCCTCACTCTGAATGAAGGTCAACACCATCATGATCTTTTGTAAGAAGGCTCATCCAGGATCTACTCAATAACTAGACCTGGGATCTAATCTCATCTAAGATTCCCAAGTCAAACCATTTTAATTTTTGTGTTTGTATTCCCCTCTCTGCTAAACAGATACTTCTCTATTGTGTAAATATATTGAGGACAGAATCCCTTAGAAGTGCTCAGGTGATGCCGTAAGATTTGCACTCACAAAAGACATTGGTGCAAAACTAGGACATGGCTAAACACCTCACTTCCCTTTGTAAACTGGACCCTCAGATTATCTCCTAAGACACGCATGAGTCTCATTCTTCCATAGAGAAGCATAAAACAAGTGATAGGATTAATTTTCACAGCAAATTCTGAAATATACAGGCTTTCCAAAGCATTGAATATTTTATAAAAATTATACATGTAACTTAATAAATGTTCATGATGCATCTTCCTCTAATGATCAACATTCTTATATAATAAACATATTTTTTTCCCCACCAATTTCTCCTTTTAAGGAACATCAAAAGGATTTGCTTATGATGCAGTGAAAGCAAGAATTTTAGCAGTTGAGAAAGTGGAGTCTGTTCACAACCTTCATCTTTGGTCTCTGACAATGAATCAAACCATTCTCTCTGCTCACGTTGCCACAGGTCAGTAAACTTCTGTAAACAGGGAGTATGTATTCAGCTGCTGCCTAGTAAAGGTCAGCCTCTCCTGATTGGGATACAACTGACTGTATATCTGTTGCTTGTTAAAACAAATGTCAGCATTTTGTTGGAAAAATAACAACAACAAACAACAAAAAGTCCTCAAATCCTCTTCCCAGAAATCTTGCCAAAACAACAGGAACCTCTGCTTAGCTGAAAAGTCGAAAACTGCAGAGGATGTGGAGCAATGCCGTAAACTACAAAATATTTTAAATAAATTAGAAGAACTAGACCAAGGCTGGATTTTTCTTGCAATATCAAATAGATTTTGGAGTGGATTTGTCAAACTTGAAAACTGTTGATCCCTACAGGAAAAACTCACAGGGCAAATCTGCATTCCTGATGCATCTCTAGCTGTAAAACAATCTTTAAAACATAGTTTGGAGCATAGAGGTAACTCCAGTGGAACAGTTTATCTTTAAAAATATTTTCTTAAATGCAGTCCTTATCCTTGTGGACAAATTGTCCAATATCCAGATCAATTTTCTTGTTTATCTGTTTGCTTTGTACATGTTAAGGTTTATTTATGAAAAAATATTCGACTTGTATTTGGCCAATAACAGGTTCAGAGGCAAAGTCCTCCATGGAGTCTCTGCTTCCCAAAAGAAGTGGGTCTATCAGCCACCCAAATCACATGGCACTGTTGCTTCCTGACTGGATGAACTAATATTTATTAAGTATTCCTGCTTTCCTCCAGTCTTCTGCAAAACTGCATTTCTTTGGTGATTACTCTTAGCTCAGCTCTTGCCAGAATTGCATATTCTGACCACATTTCAATGAACAAACTTTTGCTGACATGCAGGTTCCTGAAAGAAGGATTAAAAGAACAAGAAAACTTTCTAAAAACAAACTTCTTGTTAGAAATTTGCGAATAGTTTTTGTCAGTAAAGACTTTATTCTTCTTTAAAGTATTATATTATACACATTTTTATTATTTTCTGCTTGCTATCTATAGCAGACACAGCGGACACCCAAAAGATTTTGAGAGATATTACTCAAGCCCTGTTTGAGCACTACAGCTTCCACTCCATCACCATTCAGATTGAACTGGGAGAGGATCAGAAACAAGACTGTGTCTTCTGTCAAGAACCCAGGGATTGAAGAGAGCAATGCGCTATGCAAAATAACTGTCACCCCTCTTACAGGTCAATGGAGACTGTATGTGCTGGTTGTATGTCATTAACAACAAATGGCAATTAACTGAACTAAAAAGCCCTGCCACAGTGAGCAGGTCATAGACCTTTTGGTATCATATTTGTTGGTATCATATACTAGGAAAGAACATGTGTTAGGTCCATCCATCAGCTAGATTACCTGTCCATCAGCGGTTATTTTCAATTACAAGAGAAAGTATCTAAATTGCTCTTGACTAGAGCAACAGATTGACATTTAAAGTAACATTTAAGAGTGCCTATTTGTAATCACAGGTAACAAAAAACTAATCAACCTTCAAATTACTAGCAGACCAATTATCACAAAATGTAATGAAATGTAAATTCAGTTTTAGCAAAGCTCAACACTTACTTAGGATATAAAAAGAAAATTTAAATTAGCACAAGGGATGGAAAGATCTGGGGAATAAAGAGATGGTGGGATGTGCTTCCTTTACCTTTTGTCAGACACTCCTCCTCTGGCATATCAAAGAAAGCATCAGATGTGCACCATATTCTGCAGCATGGATCACAAAATTATTTACTCCATTCACATGTGTCAAATAGCTCTCTGTTTTTCAGCTAGCCCTATTTATTTTTCAGCTAGCCCTCAGTCAGACCCTTTTCTGCCAGACATGGGCAGTATTCTCTACTATCAAGACAACCCATAACTCATATCACACTGCATCATGGTAAGTTGTGAGGGAACATTTGTAGTGGATTTTTGGATGCCCATGTCACAAGGAACCACTGGAGTCTAGTCTTTTGTGAAAGGAAAAATAATCAGAACAAGGAAAGACTGTGGGCCATTGTGAACATCACATCTAATGTCCTTCATAGCACGGCCTGTGGGTTGTTACCTAGTAATGATACATCCCTGAAGTTGTATCAGATAATTAAAAAACCCTTTGGCATATCGCACAGCCATTCACTGTACAGGGAAGGGATGTGCCTGTCCTTCAGACAGCTAATTCCCAGATTCTTTGACAGGATGGGTCAAATCTTCCTCTTGTGCATACCTGACAATGGTTACTGCAGACCTGGGAACAGAGAGTCAGGTCTTGGTGCAGTCCCTCTGTTTATGTCCAGTCCTCTGAATTAAACACTCACCTGCTGGCAAAAGTGAGGGTTGCACTTCAAAATGTGTGCTCAACTGCTGCTTGCAAAACAACATCAGTTCTGCCCTTGGCCATAATGCTGCAGCTTCACTTTCTATGCAGAACCAGACGTAATGTTTTCCCACTCCACAATCCCCACTCACACAGCTGTAGGGCTCATTTTATTTACAGGTCTGTTAGAAGAGAATAAAGCATGCAACACCAAGTGGGACTGAGTTACCAGGCTGACAGCTAGAAAAAACATCATGTTATTAAGGTATAAAGAGGCCTTGCTTTTTAGGGAATTTGGTTTTATTTGCAATAGTCACACATTAGTTTTCTACTTTATCATCCTAAGGAGATTAGAATTTATTATTAGGGGCTTTTGGCTATGGATAATACATAACTGTGTGATGATAGATTGATGTATTAAGCTGGCATTTGTTACCTGGTAGGGGGAACAAGAAATTATTCTGCTTTGTGGAGGCATCCCAGAAGATCTTAGTCAGGTAAACCTCCCACTGAAATCAGATAAGGCATTAGAACACAACACCCGCTAAGAATTTTGTGATTATCTCATTATTTACTGGCTTGAAAGAACTGAGAACATAGTGGTGGTATTCAGCACAGTGATAAAGACAATTCATGCCCTTTACAGCTGAGACTCCAGAAGATAAGACACAGATAAATCAAAGCACAGTGAGAAACCCTGAATGAAGAAATTAACTTGTACTTTGGCCAGTTTCTCAACTGATTTAATTTATCATAGTTGCCTGCTACCAAAGGCAACTCAGCTGTACTTGTTAAGTATCCTTTCCATTAGTTGGGGAGGACAAGTTAATAGTGTGGCCTTCATATGGGGAAAAGAAAAAAATCTTCTGAAATGTTTTGAATAAGATGAAGACACAGACTTGGATGTAATAGGGAATTTTGGGCAATGTGAAATATAATGAATGGGTGATAGAAGCATCCATATAGGACACAGATTCAGTTCTGAGATTTAGGCTGAGGTAGAGATAAAGACCACAAGTTTAAGAGCAAGTGTTGGTCTTGGAAAAAATTTAAACAGACAAGTGTCACTGTCCACCAAGAAAGCCACGCTGAGTAGCAGAGTTGTGGAAAAACTGGATGGAAGCAACACAAGAGAGGCTGGAAAAAGAGGATTCAGCAGCCAGGGCCAGGACAGGTGAGGCTCCTGTCCAAATGAATTGAAAGGATGGGGAGGTCTGTCATTATGTTTGGAAAAAGGAGAGTGAAATATGGAGACATGAAGGACTTAATCCAAAATAATGATCCTTAATGAAAGGAGGTGGGGGAAAGTTGTAAAAAAGAAAGTGTAAGAAGGAAGTGAGGTAGCAGCTGCCATCCGCAGTAATCTGATGATCCATCAGATGGGTATTTGAGTAGTAAAGGTCAGAGCAGAAATGGGGAGGAAGAGGAGAAGTTTGAGTTGGTTAGCAGTGATAGACCTTGTATTTTAGCCAAAAGAATGTAGCCACCTATCTCACTAAAGTGAAGCTAGAGACAAGTGCAATTGCTTCTACTTTCTGTTGTGAAATTTACCCTAGCAAAACACTGTAGCAAAAGGAATGCAATAGCTTATGAAAACCTAAAGAAATTTTACCTAAATTTGATAGATTGAAGATGAATTTAGAGCAAATACTTACCTGTAGTTATGAATATTGCTATAAGGAGCTGAATCTTTAAAGCTTGCACTACGTATATGAATGTAAAATGTATATTTGTTCTTCAACCCTGTCTAGTCTGATCCTCAGGGATATTATTTTGGTAGAGGGTTGTTTTTGCTGAGGAGGATTTCTGCAGAAACGCTACGGTGATATACAGAGGCCAGGGCTGAGAAATTCAGAGACAATTTCTAGACTCCTCTGCTTCAATTAACTTTACAGCCTTTTGATTGTCTGCAGAGTAACTATAAGAAAATTGACAAAAAATTGCTACCTCTAAATCATTCTTAGAACTCCTGTGAAACAGAAAAGTATTTGTCACGTAACTGGTCTATTTTCCATGTCTGACTCTTTTGGTGGAGTTCAGTTCACATGGGCAAGTACGTGGCTTTACTGGCTAGCACTAAAGTTTTATGTGCATAAGTATATTCATCTTCCTCTAAATTTTAATGTAGTCATTTTGCAGCTTGTAAAGTTCTCTATTCCCCAAAAAGTACTCTCTCTTTTTCACCTTCCACAAACAAAATCTACCACACTGAGCAAGCCTGAGGATAAGGAATCTGTAGGAGAGCAAGACTTTTTGGAGTAGAAACCATGAAACAGGCAAATGCAAAGCTAAACTTTCCTTATTCAGCACTGACAAAGGGCCTAAGTGCCAATATTATGCTGAGTTGACCATCAAACAAAGACAGAAATATTTATAATTATTAAAACTGGAAACAGTTAAGGCACAAATCTGTCATTAGCATTAGTGGAGTAGTCCCTTAGTGTAACTACAGCCATAGACATCTTCCTGTGTTCTCCTGGCTGAAATGTGAAGTCATTACAAGAATTGGATATGCAGTCAAGGATCGTAATGCCCACTTAGTGTGAGACTTCATGACAGTAATTTGTCATCTCCAGAGGAAGTCCAAACAAGATGTCCCAGTCCTGTCCATGGCAGCAAATTTTGGCCTAAGCAACGAGGACTGTGCAGGTCTGCTATATCATTCTTACTAATGTTAAGAGGTTATATCAAACAATTTTGGCTCTGAGTATTTTCTCTCCTGTTGTAAAAGCTAGCATGCTTCAACACACCTTCCTCAGTGCCTTCCCCTCAGCCATAGCAGATGTGTTTTCCTTCCTTTCTCATCCCCTTTGATTACTCTTCCCTTCTATTCTCTGCTCTCCTACTTTTCTCCATTCATCTTTTTTCCAGCAATGCCTCAACTGGCTGCCTGTTCAAACTTCAATGCCAGCATGATATTTATCACATATCCTTTCTGCTTACAGCCCTTCTCATTCCTTTTCAACCTCTGTGGTTAGAAAAAAGCTCCTCAGAAAGAAACTGTCTTTTCCTCGGTATAATGAACCATCTTTTTTTTTATTTTTTGTTTGACTCTGTTGTAAGCATAGTAATAACAGGGACTTAATAAAAACAAAGAACAATAGTCATTCCAGACATCACATATTGGCTCATGTCAAGCACTGCTATATGTCTACTTTTTATTAAATTTATTTAGAACTTTCACAGCCAAAAAATTACCTGAGCGGGCTCCAGCTTAAGGTACTCTGTCATGTTCTCAAGCCTGCTGATAATTTCTTTCAGCTAAGAAAAATAAAAATCCTTTCCCACCTGAGTACACACAGGTTAAGCAAGAAAGGAATTAGAGACCTCTGTTGCTTAACTGCCTTCTTTGACTTCTCTTTGCCTGGACTTTGTGTCAGACAGTCTGTGTCTAGCAAGAACACACTGCAGCAGAGGAAGCTTTGGAGAGCAGACAAGTGGCTGCAATGGAAGCAAAACAGAGGGGATTTTTACATGGTTTCTATTGCACATTCAGAGTTTTCCGTCCCAGGTGTCACGCTGATGAGAAACATGTCTGCTTTTCCCTACAGAATTAGGGTTTGGCTTTTGATTAAGGATTTTTTTTAAAAGGGTGTAAAGAAATGAGCAAACAGAAGTTAGAAAGGTTGTGTTGTGAATAATTCCTGGTGGCATCAGAGGCATTTTACCCCATGGCTTGCACTCTCTCTAACAGCAGGGCTCTGTGGCTTTGTCTCCCAAACTTCGCTGCCGTATGCTCTGCTGTGATGTGCTGTCTCTCCTTACCACACACCACAGACACTGCCACGGTGTGCAATGAAAGGTGTCCTGCTGTGACACATGCCACATGACTCCTTGCATG